CTCGCGGAACATACATTTAGTTAGCATTTGAAAAAAATAGCGCTATATGTAAATAGATAGGCCAAAGTGGAGAGATAATACCAAGTGATGAACACCAAAATACTGAAATTATACCTTCTTTTTATATGTAATTCACAATAATTCTTTATAGGAATTTCCTAAAACATAAACAGAAAGATCCAAACATAGTGCAAATCTGTAATGTTTAAAGGTGTGGTAGAAATATACAAAGGTCCCACTCACACTTTTAGGAGCTAAAGAGGTATAGCTCAATTGAAGCACTTTCAGAGTCCGTAAAGGCGACCCTTATCCCTTCTTTTAACTCTTCCTTTCTTGTATTCTGAAATGTATAAAGGAAAATACCTCTGGTGCAGTAACGTAGACTAGGTATATGCAAGTAGTAAGGGAAATAGGGTACTTACAAACCCAGAGCCATCCACATCGGCTCTGATCCAATAGTTTGTGTGGATTAAGGACCACACTCCTTCTTTTGTAATAGCAGGAGAATGCCAATAGTGTCTCTCAAAAATATAAGCTTTATTCACTATATATACAGTTAAGTACAATACAAATATAAAAAATATATATATATAATAGTATACAGAAAACACTATAATGGCATAAAATGTCCAGTAATAGAAAGTCTTTAAGCTCACAATGTTTCCAGGACGCGTTTTGCCGTTTAGGCTTCCTCAGCTGGATGTGAAAAAAAGTCTGTACCTTCTTGCACTGGCTCCTGCTATATGTACCCCTCCTGGGGTGAAGATGCTTGTTTTTCGGCTTGAATTTTCGCGGGCTATCACCATGGGAATGGTGACGCCCTGTGTGTCAAGCCTCTTTCTCTCTTCATTTCCGGGTAGCACTATCGATACGTCACTTCCGGTTTTTTCGATCGCAAGCCGTCGCGTCATATCCATGCGTTCCAGCTTGTGTTCCAAATGTGTTCCGGCTTGCGGTTCAATTTTGCCGGCATCACCACAGATAAAGGGAAGAGGGAGAACAGAATATTTTGTGTATATTTATTCAATATTGAAAATCTTTACCAAAGTTCTTTTAGTTCTTTCTTTTCATCTATGTGTAGTTTCAATAAAGAAAGCGTGTTCATATATACATATCGTTCTTTTAACTCACATAAGTTCTTTTTTATAAAAGCATTTATACAGTAATGGCCCTATATAGGTTTAGAAATAAAACCAGGAAACAATATAAGAATATACAAATATTATATAAAAAACAATATAAGAATCCCTTTCACAAAACATAGAATATACCCAAACACTTCTAAAAGAAAGGTAGAGCCATACCATATACATTTCTATATTTCAATAATGGTGGCATAAAATTGATATCAAAAAACATAAAAAGAATAAGAGATCCTCTAGTTGAAAAAATTTTTTTTTAGGGGTTTGAAAGTTAGACAATATAAAAAACACTAAGTACCCAAAATATCTATTGCAGGAAATGGCACATTTCGAAGTCTGCATTTAGTCCATTAGGGATCAAAGTGTCTAGTTTGAAAATACACTCCATTTCACATTTACTCATTTTTACATCGAAATTGCCTCCTCTCCAATCTTTTTCCACTTTTTTGATCCCTAAAAAGATGGTATCTTTAGTTTCACAGTTATGGTAGTTTTTGTAATGTAAAGATGCGCTATGTTTTTCGAAACCCTTTGTAATATTTCGTCCATGCTCTTCTATTCTCGTATGTAGTTGTCTTGTGGTTTTCCCTATATATTTTAGACCACAAGGGCATATTATTAGATAAATAAGATTCTTTGAGTAGCATGTAATGAAATCTTTAATTTGGTATTCTGTTCCCTCTTTATTTGTATATGTAGTTATATGTCTTTTTTTGTTGGTAGTTCTCCTACATGCCAAATATTGGCCACAGCCGTAAAAACCTTTCTCTGTGTTAAATGGGTTGCCATTCTTTTGTTCTTTAATATAACTAGACGTGAGAGCAGTACGGAGGTTGCTTACCCCCCTATGTACAAAATTGGGTTTGTCTGGAAGGAAAGTTCTCGCTACTGGATCCTGAAGAAGAATAGGCCAAAATTTCGAAACTATTTTCCTCACCTTATGATTTTCCGTGCTAAAGTTACATATAAAAGGGACTTCTTTAAAACCTTTCTCTTTCTTTTCTTTATATTTTAAGACTGTTTCTCTCTATTTCTTTAACTTCTTTTCTAGCTTTTTCCAATTCCTGTTCATCATATCCTTTCTCTATAAAATCTTGTTTAATTTTATCTGATTGCGTATCGAACATCTCAAGATCAGTACAATTACGATGTATTCTGAGGAATTGCCCTCTAGGGGCATTCTCCAACCAAGGAGAGAAGTGGCAACTTTCTCTTTCGATATAACTGTTGGCCTCAACCGGTTTAAAATAATTTTTCGTTTTAATCCTATTTTTTTCTATATATATTAATAGGTCTAGATAAACTACTTCCACTTTACTCCAATTGCTGGTAAGTTTAATCCCCCATGTATTGGTGTTGAGGTGATTTAGGAATAGGATAAGATCTTCCTCCTCTCCCTCCCAAATGAAGAAAATATCATCGATATAACGGCCATAGGTAACCAAGTTCCTCCCCCAGCTATGAGGGCCATAAATATAAGTATCTTCCCAATAGGCCATAAATAAATTGGCGTAGCTGGGGGCGAACTTGGTCCCCATGGCTGTCCCATTAATTTGGAGGTAGAACTCTTCATTATACCAGAAATAATTGTTTCTGAGGATTAATTCTATCGCTTCTAAGAGGTAACTTTCAAACCCCTAAAAAAAAATTTTTTCAACTAGAGGATCTCTTATTCTTTTTATGTTTTTTTATATCAATTTTATGCCACCATTATTGAAATATAGAAATGTATATGGTATGGCTCTACCTTTCTTTTAGAAGTGTTTGGGTATATTCTATGTTTAGTGAAAGGGATTCTTATATTGTTTTTTTATATAATATTTGTATATTCTTATATTGTTTCCTGGTTTTATTTCTAAACCTATATAGGGCCATTACTGTATAAATGCTTTTATAAAAAAGAACTTATGTGAGTTAAAAGAACGATATGTATATATGAACACGCTTTCTTTATTGAAACTACACATAGATGAAAAGAAAGAACTAAAAGAACTTTGGTAAAGATTTTCAATATTGAATAAATATACACAAAATATTCTGTTCTCCCTCTTCCCTTTATCTGTGGTGATGCCGGCAAAATTGAACCGCAAGCCGGAACACATTTGGAACGCAAGCTGGAACGCATGGATATGACGCGACGGCTTGCGATCGAAAAAACCGGAAGTGACGTATCGATAGTGCTACCCGGAAATGAAGAGAGAAAGAGGCTTGACACACAGGGCGTCACCATTCCCATGGTGATAGCCCGCGAAAATTCAAGCCGAAAAACAAGCATCTTCACCCCAGGAGGGGTACATATAGCAGGAGCCAGTGCAAGAAGGTACAGACTTTTTTTCACATCCAGCTGAGGAAGCCTAAACGGCGAAACGCGTCCTGGAAACATTGTGAGCTTAAAGACTTTCTATTACTGGACATTTTATGCCATTATAGTGTTTTCTGTATACTATTATATATATATATTTTTTATATTTTTATTGTACTTAACTGTATATATAGTGAATAAAGCTTATATTTTTGAGAGACACTATTGGCATTCTCCTGCTATTACAAAAGAAGGAGTGTGGTCCTTAATCCACACAAACTATTGGATCAGAGCCGATGTGGATGGCTCTGGGTTTGTAAGTACCCTATTTCCCTTACTACTTGCATATACCTAGTCTACGTTACTGCACCAGAGGTATTTTCCTTTATACATTTCAGAATACAAGAAAGGAAGAGTTAAAAGAAGGGATAAGGGTCGCCTTTACGGACTCTGAAAGTGCTTCATTTGAGCTATACCTCTTTAGCTCCTAAAAGTGTGAGTGGGACCTTTGTATATTTCTACCACACATTTAAACATTACAGATTTGCACTATGTTTGGATCTTTCTGTTTATGTTTTAGGAAATTCCTATAAAGAATTATTGTGAATTACATATAAAAAGAAGGTATAATTTCAGTATTTTGGTGTTCATCACTTGGTATTATCTCTCCACTTTGGCCTATCTATTTACATATAGCGCTCACCCATACACCGGTTTGTACTACAATTTTGAAAGATAAGTTTGGGGTGTTATAGCAGCTAGAGATCAATAGTATTCCTGATATAAGTGTATCACTTTGTATTGAAATATTAGCGCTGGTACTTTCACCCTTTTTCCATTTGAAAAAAATAGCTTTAAAAAGCCCAGCTACATTTGAACGTTCAACAGTAGGCCACCAGCTGCATTAGGAAAACAATTCCAACAATTCTTAGTCCATTAACAGCTGGTGGTCAAAGGTTGGACATCTTTTTGTCTCCGTTGTTAAAATTATGATGATCCATTCATTCTAAAATACTTTTTTTCCCCCTGTCACTAAATATATAATCTTAATGCAGAGATTCACAAAAACCAGATCAGAACATTCACAGCAAACTACTCTTAAAACATTTTGTATGTAAATAAATTGGAAAAAAAATCATCACTTGTTATTACAGACACTTTAATTTTTTTTTCATTATTGAACCAGGGCTCATGTCATTGTTGATCTCATTCAGATATTGCATCATTTTTTTTTTCCTTGGGCTGTAAACAGTGTTATAACATCATTGACCAACTACCTACGGCAATGCTGTTAATTCAGATATAGATCTCATATGCTTAATCTAAAAGACTCGTAATAGAAGATTAGTAACTTGACCAGGTACTCAGATGACCCTGTTGAGTCAAAGTTGGGAAGTCAAAATTGGTACATAGGCAATGTATTATTTATAAGAAACATGAGCAAAAAAACAAACAAAAAAACATGTTCCAGATGTGAATGCTTAAAAAGTTCTCAAAGCTACAGCACCAAGTACATCATTAGTTATATATATATATATATATTTATTTTTTTTTAAGTGGAAACCGACAGAGTGAAATAAAACATTCTTGTTATTTTTTATTGTACAGCTGCTGCATTATTATTTAATTACATTATTATATGCCTATTGTAGGAAAACATGCAGAGACACACTGCACACCAACATACACTACAAAATGTGTCTTTAAATGCAGAGTATGAGTCGTGTTTGGTCCTCTCCATAACGGGGACTGGTTTTGTAACTTGACTGATGGTTTCAGGATCATTTGCTAAACATGAGGATGAATGAGGGGCATGTTAACCTTTATCTGAATGTGACTTAGCTTGATTGGTTATCATACATAGAATTTAAAGTTCATGGTACAACAGAATTGCATGTGCAGAACCAGCAGGGAAGAGTTTATTACATGTGGGTTACCAATCACGAGAAAGCTTAGTGTTCTGGTCCCTTTTGGGAGGGGCTGGAGGTGGCCCCCTTCGTAATGTTGCATAGCCTGATAAATGGCTGCCTCCATAGCAGTTAGCTTTTTGATTGTCTCTTAGCAGTTCTGGAGGAGGAGGTGGCAGGACCATATCATCCATGGTGGCTGTAGGCTCAGGCCTTGATAACCGGGGAGATGACAATGAGCTATGCCTTGTAATGGATTTTCTCTGTAGAGTCTTGTTCAGGTCAGCAAGGAAACCTGGTTGCACACTAAGACTTGGCTTAGGTGAAGTTGGTGGTACTTGTAGGCTGACAGGGGTAGATGATTCTGTCACTTCTGCTTGCATCAGACGCATGCTGTCATTCCTTTTTGGTCTGGTGGGTGGTGGGGCTTTCTTTACAGAAGATTTTGACCATGTCTGGGGTTGTGGATTTACCACAGCCACCTTTGGAGAAGTATTTCCAGAAAACAAAACTGGTGGGCCATCTACAGGTGGTGGAGGTGGTGGCAGGAGCTCAAGATCTGCTGGTGAAGGTGGGAAATCGGATTCAGAATCAGACGGTGGAGATGGAAACTCGGTGACTGCCACTTTTCCTGAAGGCAACGTCCCAGGGACTTGGCTGGAAAGATTTCCTTGCTGAAAAAACATTGGCAAATTTACACCTGAAAGGTTTAGTTTAACTGGCTTTGGTGGAGCTGCAGGGGGAGGTAATGACTCATTTGATGGTGATCCTGGTGAGTCAGAGAACTTGCTGACTAGGCTGTCCACAGAGGATTTCTTAGATTCATGGTATTCAGCAGAGCTGTTCGATTTAATACTAGAATTGCGCTGGGGAGTGGGGGGAGGCTTCTTCCCGCCAGGACTGGATGTCTTGCTTGCCTTTTTTGCTTGGCGAACCAGTCTTTTCTGGTGTGGGGGAAGGAGGTGGAACGGGAGATGTGGCAGGGGGAGGTGGAGGGGGTGGTGGAGGAAGAATTGTTAAGCTGCTTTCAGGTGGAGGAGGGGGGAAGTCAGAGGATGGAACTGAAAATGGCTGCCATTTTGGTTTTGCTTTCACAGCTGGTGGAGACTGTGGGGCAGAGATGGGAGTGCCTGGTTTAGGAGGCTGAGGTTCTGAAAGTGGTGGAGGTGGTGGTGGGAACTGACTTGCAATCAGCTTAACTGAAGGCATAGGGGAAAGTGGAGAAGATGGTGGTTTTGTTGAGAAGCTCTGCTGTTTTGGTAAGGTTGGAGGTGGAGTGGGAGCAGACATAACTGATGGACTCGTTGAAGATTGTTGCGTCTGTGAGAGTGTGAAATGAAGCTGCTTTTTGGGTGCAGTAGGAGGCCCCAGGGCTACAGACGCTGGTGGGGTGGCAACAGGCAGGGCTGGCTTGGAAACTGTCCCAAACTGTTTAATAGGTGCTTGGAATGGAGGGGGAGGAGGTGGAGGGGGAGGAGGTGGTGGTGGAGGTGGTAGTGGAGGTGGTGGAGGGGGCTGGGTAGCCTGGACAATGTTGTTTTGCTGGACTTGATTGATTTTCAGTGGAGGTGGTGGTGGTGTAAACTGAGGCATAGATGGTGTACATGGAAATGGTTTTAGCATTGCCATTGCTGAACCTGGTGGTGGAGGTGGTGGTGGTGGCGGCGGGGGCGGTGGAGGCGGGATAGCCCCATTTGGGGTAACAATCATCTGAGGCTTTGAACTTGGTGGAATGTGTTGAACTGTGCTATTTGATGTGGGGGATTTAAAGGTAGGCCCTGGATATTGGGCAGCATTTTGTAATCTTGTGATGGTACTGTATTTAGCAAACAAAATTGGTGTGGACACAGAAGGACTTTTAGATTGGGTGGGAAGTGGAGGTGGGGGAGGGGGTGGAGGAGGAGGTGGCGGCGGTGGGGGTGGAGGAGGTGGTGCAAGGGGTGATGGCTGAGATGACGCATGAGGAGATACAGCCCTGATCTGGATGTGTGGCTGAGGAGTCAGAGAAACTAAAGGACGATTTAAGGTTTCCATTCGAGCCTAGAATATATAAAATAAAAAGCATTAGATATAGCTTGTAATATATACACATGCCACTTTGTACAAAACAATCAACAGTGGACATCACAAAGACAGTGGGTGAACACAAAAGGAGGTTTTCCAGAAATAACAAAATTCTTAATATATTATTTGCAGTAGCACAGTTGAATGGATATTACAACTGAATGTAAGTTGCGTCTTTGTAAAGAAAGGATTAAACTTCCCAGTGTTGCAGTAGCAATAAAGAAGTTAGAAAATGCACAGCTTTAGAAAGGAAATGTAATATGCAGATCTCATCACCAACACCAGAATCCTGAACGCTGAGGAAGTGCATTGCAATAAAAAAATAAAAGTTAAAATTCCATATTTGGTGACATACAAGAAGACATTGGTTGGAAACAGACAACACGAGAGGGTAGAAGGTGCATGACAACAGACAATGCAGAGGTGAGAAGAGGCAAGTTAAGCAGGACATAGCTTTAAATTCCTACTCTAAAAAAGAATGCCTTGCTATTCAGTAATCAAAATCCTGTGCAGCCAGTTGCAAGAAAGGAAGCCTTCTGTGTCCTACTAGAAAAAGTTTATTTCTGTAGACTTTATTATATCTATATTCTTTGATACCTAAGCCTTAATTATAAAAGAGGATGGCCATCTAGGAATTAAGGCAGCGGACTGGATCCCCTTAAGGGGATATAACCTGTCTCTTAAAACACTATTGACAGTATTTGGTGCATATAATTGCGGACACTAAATTAGTATAAAAATGGGTAGAAGTCTGCATTAAATGCAGCTTTTCTCTACAAAATGTGGGTAGTACTAACATTACCACAATAACTTGGCAATTGGCAGCAATCTGCTTAACTTACATCTGACATACTAGAATTCCAGATTTTTGTTGGGATATGCAGTGGAAAGTTCTTTCATTAGCCCCTATATTAAGGATTTCACAAGAAAATGAAAAAACAAAGCCTCAAAACTGCAAGCCAAAAACATTACTGCTACAATAGTGTCCTGCCCTATGATCTAATTAGGCTAAAGCTTTACCTGATCCCCTTTTGTATTGAAAAAGTTATTAAAAAAACCAAAGAAAAATAAAAAGGAAACGTCTGCTTTTCGGCAGAGAAAAAACATTAACCAAACATAAGCCAGGGGGCTTGTGTTAATGTTTGTTCATGATTCGTTTGCTTTATTTTCAGGAAAGGATAAAGGATTCTTTAGAAAGTTAGTCTGGAGGATTCCAGTTAAACAACATCCAGGTTAAGTGTGTTTTTAGATGACCCCTGACCTTAATACCGCCCCGTACAAATCGCTGTGGGCTTGATGGCCTTAGAAGAGTTGGGCTTCACATTTGGAACCTGGGACAATGAGGCAATAGGAGAAACACGAGCAGTGAAATAAAATGCGTGGCGACAGAATAGCAACATCATGCCAATGCGTATTTTTCAACCCCGTTCTATCGGAATTCCCAATCATCCCGTCTTACAATGAAGGCTGGCCAATTTATTTCATACCCATGGCCTGACCAAATTTAAAAGCATGATTATTACACTACGGTGCGTGAACATTCAAATTGTTTTCACGATTTATAGATGTCCTCACAAAGAGAGGCTTCTGAAATGGTCTGCAAACTTGCCAAAGTGTATGGTAATGTGGCAACATAATGGGTATGACTTGATGTAGGGAGAATGGTACTAAACACTGGTCTACATTGTGGGATGGGAAATCATGGCTGTGATACGGGATAACGGGAAACAGGAATAAAAACCCAGCAGCCTTCTACCCATGCAGCTCAGCCATTCATGCCTTATTTAGGTTTAGTGGGAGTGGAGGGTATGATCACTCTACCTTGCTGGATTCCTCCAGCTGCGTTCCTCTCTTCCAGGCTTCAGAGAAGATAGAACTCACAATGCTTTGAGAACGCATATGGCAGGAGGCTTGACTATCAGAAAGGCCGCTGTCTGACTGGTTGGAATGGTTCGATTGAGATTCTGTATGAGGAACACAAACAGTGGGATAACTCCAATTTTTTTCAAAACATTCTAAGCAATCTTTTTTTCTGTAATAAGCACATTTTGTCATTGCCTTGGAAATCATGTCTAATTTCAAGTCCTGTTGTTTTTTTGTAGTCAGACAAGTTTGTCATTAAACTCTGAATTTTAGCAGATTAAGTTTGAAAAGGAAGCATTTAGGCCAAGATAATGAATTTCGAGAAAGAAAATTACAACTCCGCTATAATCACAGCTTGGCTATTTTAGCCTCAGTTTTGCAACTTCGTTTAGTAATAACCCTGAGAAACGAATAGCGATAATTGCAAATGTACTTAAGGGCATAATCTGCGAGATTAGGAGACCTTTATAAACTCTGAATTAATTCACTAGTCCCTAACATAGCTTTCCTGGATTTTCTGTCACAGTGGAGCAAAACCACTATATGGCTCATGACCTTCTATTGCAATAGAAGACAGATATAGCAGGTTACCCCTTATAACAAATAAACACTAAATGGAAAAATGGACAACCGCCTCATGTACACTGTGTGATTTTATTTGCTGGAGGATTTGCAAATCCATCCATACCTGGTAAGCTAGAAGAACTGGATCCAGATTTCATACTTGAACTTGATAAAGATGTCCAATCATAAGCTGCTTCTGTCCTCTTCAGGGCTTCTTGATAATTAGTATACAGTTGCTTACCATACTAGTGAAGGTTAAAACAAAGAAAAAAATGTAAACAGACATTACTGATTATATATCAAATGTATGACTTGCACTCTGAAAAAAGTAATTGGCCCTTTCCCCCCCCCCCAAGATTCACTGAATTCCACTAAACCTTTTCAATCCACACTTCAATTACATGGATACTAAATCGACATGAAGTACCGTCACCCGTCAATCAATGCTCTCACTAACCCAATGTTAATTATTGACTTGGTATGCATAACACTACTCACAATCGTCAGTCACGTACATTGGTCTATCACATGAACACATGTCCCATAGCTGTAGATAACACCTGCACATATCCTGTCTTGATAAGTCCCAAGTCAATGGCAGAGTACTGGGTACACAGGACCTAAACCCATTGGCAGTTCAAACACAAGTTGCAAATTCTGCTCTAAAGGATCCAATAGGTCAAAGCACTCCGTGTGCTATACCTGTCAACTGGGGGCAGCGAGAAGACTATAGAAAAAGTGAGTGACAGTACCTTAGCAATACGGATCCCGTTAACCCATTGATGCAAGGTTCGGACATCATCGCAACACAGGTACTTTATGTACTGGGACTTCTTTTGGATTTGAGGATGCTACAAAACAAAGGAGAGCCATGTGGATATATTATTGTTCTATAGAATAGAGCAAAGGTAATGCATCTTAAACAACACCAATCACCTGTTCGAGCACGTGCTTTGACTTAAATTTTTTTTTTAGAAAACAGCTCTATGCATTACAAACATCACACAATGAAAGCAACACAATCTCTTTTAAAGGGACTCTATAGTCACAAGAACAACTACAGCTTATTGAATTTGTTCTGGTGAGTAGAATCATTACCTTCAGGCTTTTTGCTGTAAACACTGTCTTTTCAGAGAAAATGCAGTGTTTACATTACAGCCTAGTGATAACTTCACTGACCACTCCTGTTAGAGAT